TCACAACACATGCTTGGACTGTGAGTTTCTCTGGTGCCCAGCAGCGGTCCCTGCTTCCCCTCCTGCCCCCGCCCCCACCACCGTGAGGCAGTGTATTCTGTCCACTTCATGAAGAAGCTCTTCTGAGGAAGGAACTTGGGGCAGGGCTCCTGGCTGGCTGGTGGAGTGGGTCTGTGAGTCCCCAAATCTGGGACTCCTCTGGGTGAAGGATCTGGCCAGGCTGACCAGGATCTGGGGCAAGCTCCAGCAGCTGCCAGCCTCCCCTGATGCTGGGGGTGGGGGTGGGGACAGATATCCAGTGCCTGCAGTTGACTGGGACAGCCCTTCCCGCTGGTGAGGGGAGGTCCCAGCCTCAGAGGCAAGGGCTCCCTGGCCTCTGCAAAGGCGGCCATGGCCAAGTGGCCTCTTATGCAGGACTCAGGTTCCAGCACCATCACCTCCTGGACCATCTTTTGTGATGGCTGACCTTGTGCAGCAGGACAGCCTCAAGGGCCTACGGTGGGCCCAGCCTGGGCCTTGCCCCACACACGGTGCCTGGGGGCTCTGCGTGGAGACCCTCTCAAGTCAGAGTCCGTCAAGTCAGAACCTGTCCCTGCTCAATATCGGTTTGAGTCTGTGGAAGGCATGGGTGGCGGCAGTCCCGTCCCCCAACGCTCCAGCTGGGTGTAGCACAGGTCAGGCCCTCTCTCTGAGCCTCAGTTTCCCTCCTGTGAAATGGAAATAACGACAAAACTGCTTTTCAGCGGGCCTCAAGGAAACCAGATTAGCAATCGCGTGTTTGTGTGCACACCACCCGGAGCCGGCCGTGGGGAACGCCCCACTGTCCCAAAGGCTGTAGCCCAGGACCAGGACCGAGCCCAGAACTCCAAGTGGGGCCGCCGGGCCGGGGTGCAGACACGCACGCACATGTCTCCCCAGCCTTTCTGACAAGGGCCTGTTCTCCGCCTGCTGGCTGTTTCTGAGAGAAGCGGAGGAAACAGTGCTTCTTTGTTTTGTTCTAGCACTGATGACTTCATCGTCCCACTTCTTCCCAGAAAAGACGCTGAGAAATGTGTTGAAGTTCAGCTGTGAGCGCCTCCTCTTATAGCAAGAATGCGGAGTATTTAAAGCGGCTTCTGTTCTGAAGTTATTTTGAGAGAAGTGGCCCTGCTGGGTATCACTGGGCCGGGCCCCACGCAGGCGCTCCTCGGGGAGGGAAGCCTGGGGATGCCGCAGCCCCCTGCCCCAGTCACCCAGCGCCTGGCTCTCGGGACCACCCCATTTGAATGGAGCCCCCACAGCTGTGAATCTCAGTCACAGATCACCGCTAAAAAACAAACAACTGTCCAGGTTTTAACTCAATCCCCCAAATTCAAGGAGAAATGAAATTGTTTCTCTGTCAAGATTTCCCAGACCCTTGACAGGCAGCTCTGGCTAGAAGGATACAACCCCAAGGAGTGACGTCTGTGCACCTCAACTCTGCCCTGACTGCTGGGGACCCCTGCACCTTTGTCCCTCCACTTCCTTCACCACTCCGGGTCCCTGGGTCCTGACCAGGACAGCCCCAGGCGCACTTGTCCAGGTTTTGGGTCTGGTCTTGGTGAGAAGCCAGGGCCATACAAGTGGCAGTGGAGGGGAGGGGTGTGGGGAGGTAATTCCTACCTGCGGGGTAGTGGGGGAGCAGGCTGGGGTAACCGCCCTGCTGTCTGGGCAAGACGGGACCCGAGTGTCTCTTGTCACAGAGAAGGTGGTCCCAATTGTCCCCTCAGCCCACCTTCAGGTGCAGTGGGCGAGGTGGGGTGGGGTGGGCAGGACCACACCGATGGAGCACTCACCCTGCTCCCAACCCCAGTAGATCCACTTACAGGTGGCTGTTAGGAGCCCACTTTACAGCTGTGGAAACTGAGGCTCAAACAGATGGAGGGGCTGTCCCACAGCCAGTCAGGGGGAAGATCTGGAGTGAGCTGCGCTCTGCCCCCGCCCACAAAGCAGGTCCTGGGCCTCACAGGCTTGCCTCCCCAGAAGCTCAGGGAGAAAACAAAGCATTTATTTTTACCAATGTTCCCTGGCCTTGAAAGTGCTTGAGAGGTGTTTGTCAGGAGGTGTGAGTGACTCATGCAGACACTTGGAATGGAACTGACTGTTTTCGCCCCAGATTCTGACGTCGTGTGGGCAGCGTCCCCGCAGGGCGCTTGGGCGGCCAGGCTGACCCTCAGCAGGAGACGGCAGTGGGTGGGGGCACAGTGAGAGATGCTCCTGATGTTGTCAGCGTTGTGGAAAACAAATCCCTCGGCCCAAAGGACAGGCTCCAAGTTTGCTGGGGTGCTTGTCATCTCCAGGGTTGCCCATCCTCTCAGGGGTGATGCTGGGCCCTGGGGCTGTAGGGGGGGAGCAAAGTGCTCTTTGCTGATGCCCCCCCTTCAGGCTGTAGTGTCTGAACACAAGCGCCCACCCCTGCTGCCACCTCCAGGGAGCAGCCCCGTCCCCATGGCTCACACCTTCCAGACCCATTCCAGCCTCACTGCAGGTGCTCAGCTGTGAACTCGGAGGGTCCTGGCTGCTTCAGCTCAAGCTTAGAAGCCGCAAATGGTTTTTCTCCCCTGTGCTGTGTTGGGTGCTCCCTCCCTGAAGAGGTTAAGGGGTCAGGGGTCCCACTCCTAGGCTGGAGGAGGGTCACAGGGTGCCTAGAGTTGGGGGCATGGCCTGTGTCTCCCAGTGTGGTCCCTGCACCCTGGAACTGGGGCTGTGACCTTCTGACCCAGGCTATGCCCAGCGCTCTAGGACTCAAGGGCCCCAACTTGGAGAAGCTCAGCGCTGCTTAGAAGAGCCCCTTCCCTCCAGGCCCTCGCTGGGTAGGGCCACCCTGGGGATATCCTGACTCCACCTGCAGGAGGGAGATGCACACCCCACGGCCAAGGTGAGGCGGGCAGAGGGCAAGAGCAAGGATCCCTGCCCTGTGGAACAGATCCCACAGGTGCCACCACATTGGAGACTGGGCCCTGCAGACAGGCGAGCAGGGGTGGGACAGGACCTGGGTGCTAGTACAGGTCCTTGTCCGCAGCACACAGAGGGGCTCAGAGGCACAGGAGGCAGGCGGCCACTGGGGAGGGCAGGGGGAGGTCCAGGTGGCTCCTGTGCAGGACAAGGTGAGGGCTGGGGCCACAGGGCCTGTCACTGGTGTGATGGGAGAAGAACCTGGGGGCAGTCATAGGAGGCCCCAGGGGTGAGGGGCTGGGCCTGGGCAGGGCGGTGCCTCTCAGCTGGGGTGGGGGAGTTAAAGCATCGCAGCTGAGGAACAGTTAGCGCTTTCATCCTGCTTCTCCCTTCACGCGTCTCAGTGGCAAATGTGTTTTTCACACAGAGTCTGATGTTCATTCTCTGTGGTAAATAAGAGGCCCGTACCCCCCCACACACAAAATAGGCCACGCTCCTCTCCAGCAGCTGCCGCCTGGCTGGCCGGCCCATGGAGCGGCCTGGTCACCACTGTCAGCTGCAGCCGCAGGCCAGGCACCGCGGGGCGCTTTCCCAGCCTCCTCCAGGGACTGCCATTGACCCCGCCATTCCCTGCACCCAGCCAGTGCTCACCCAGCCCTTCCCGGGAGCTGGGGTGCAGCCATGAGCAGGACTAACAGAGCTGTGCTCCAGGCGGCTCATGGTCCCGTGGGGAGGGCGGGAGGCAAACAAGTAAACAAGATGCACGGTAAGGACAGACTCAGATGCCACAGGGACGTGAAACAAGGTCCGGGGTGGACAGCGGCTGGGCAGCAAGTGCCACGTGGCCCAGCGTCAGGGAAGGCCTCGGATGGAGCCTGAGGGGGAGGCTGGAGGAAGGCGCCCCTGTGAGGAACAGCAAGCACAGGGCCTGAGGCCGGGTGCGCACCGGGTGTGTGCGGGAGAATCGGGGGCCGGATCAGAGAGCTGGGCTTGGAGCCCAATTGGGGGGACCTCAGGGGCCATGAGAAGGACTCTAGGGAAGGGCCGGGCATGACATGGGATGTAGCTGATGTGCTAACCAGGCCCCAGGGCCGTGCTGGCTGCGTTCACTCAGCCTCTCCATGCCCACAAAAGCTGTAGCCTGTTGCAGTGCATGGGGGGAGGCTGAGGCTCGGGGGGCCCACAGAGCACCCCGCCCGCCCACGGCTGCTGCACCTCTCAGCCCTCGCTGGTCTGTCTATAAGCCCGGCTGCCCAGAGGGCCCTTTCTTCACACACTTCCTGGGGTGGCCACCTGCAGTTTTGAAGGCTTCTCCCAGGAGGGGACACTGCAAGCGGACCTTCAAGGGACTGGATTAAAGAACGATCTAAAAGAGCGGGGACAGTGGGAGCCTGACTCAGGTGGGAGTGTGGGTGGCACATTTGGGGCACAGCAAGCAGGCAGCTGGTCTGGTGTAGTCTTGCTTCCTATTTTTTGAAAACTCAACTATTAAAATATACTTTTAATGAAATTTTACATTCCCACCTGGGTCACCAGCATCACTTCTCATAAATAGAAAGTGAACCTAGAAATTAATGGAATGAAAACAAACATTATTGATTTCTAACAAGAATAAAAAATTACAAAATAAAATGTAAGTGCCCGCGCTCCGGTCCTAGGATGGCATAAACCCGCCCGCTCCACTCACCCACTGAGTGCAGCTCAGCACTTGGCCGAGTGCGCGGAGCAGCGGGTTTACCACGTTCCTCCCACTCGTGCTCCTCGGCCTGAGCCCGGGGCAGCCTGGCACCTAGGGAGGACCAGCACCAACAGAGAAAGTGCCAGGAGGAACCCTCTGGTTCCAGCTGAAGGAGCAGGATGGGGTCTCACTGCTCAGAGAGAGTGGGAAAATCCATTTTTAAATATCTTTCCTCTGCTCTTTCACACCCCAGCCCACAAGTAATTCCACGGGAGCCTCGCATGGGCCGTGCCAGAGCCTAAGACCCTGAGCGGTGGAGCTGCTGCCCCACTGAGGGCAGGTGAACTCGCTGCCCTTCTTTCTGTCTGTCCTCCCACCGCTTGGCCCTGGATACAGTCACAGTCATGGGAAGTGCACAGCAGAACAGGGTAAGTAAAGCCCTATTTCTGGCTGGAAGACCAAAAACGGGAGCCCCAGGAAACTGGGAAATGCCATAGAGGCTGTAGAAAGGGGGGAGCTCAGGAAAGCAACCTAGTAAAGTTGTTTATGGCCCCAGGGCTCATTCTCAGGGTGCACAGGTGTGGATCTGACCCTAGACAGCACCCATAGGCTTTGATAACTGAAGTACTAAGTAGACCTCGGTCCAGGTCTCAGGTTGGCCAAGAGTTGGCACACACGTTTGAACATCAACTCAGTGGCTCTGAAAACAGAGCTAATGTCAAAACTGCAACCCACAGAAGCCTCGGCAGGAGATTTGCCCCCCACCCCAAGCCTAATTGGGTCAGTTGCGTGCTAAAACAAAAACAAAAGTATTTTCCATAGGATTTAAGACCCAGAATTCCAAAACATAGTTTTCAAAATGCCCAGAGCACCATCCAAAATTATTTGACATGTAAAGAACTAGGAAAATCAACTCCCGTGGGAAAAGGTAAGGAACAGATGCCAACGCTAACACGAAGCAGGTGTTCAAACGATCTGACGCAGACTTCACAGCAGCTATTCTAAAAATGCGCCAAGTGAAGGCAACTGTTCTTAAAGCAAATGGACAGATAGAAAGTCTCAGCCAAATATAAGAGACATAAAGAAGAACCAAGTGGAAATCTTAGAACCGAAAAATGCCGTAGCCAAAGCCTAGAAACTGACTGGATGGGCTCAGCAGCAGGATGGAGATGACAGAGAAAATGACTGGTCACATTAAAGACAGTTCTGTAGAAATTATTCCATCTGAACAACAGAAAGGAATTGAAAAATTAACAGAGCTTCAAGCATCTGTGGGATAATAGCAAAAGATCTAATATTTATGCCAGTAGAGTCCCAGAAGGATAGGAGAAAGTACAGGGCAGAAAAAGTATTTGAAGAAATGATGGCTGAAAACTTCCCAATTTAGTCAAAGACATAAACCCACATATTCAGGAACCCCAAACAGGATGACTCCCAAATGGAATAAAACTAAAAGAGATTCATGCCCAGGCTTATCATAAAGTGCTGAAAATGAGAGACAAAGAAAAAAAGCCAAGAAAAATGATGATTTTCTTATAAGGAAAGTATAATCCAAATTACTGTAGATTCCTCCAAAGAAACCACAGAGGTCAGAAGTAAGTGGGATAACATTTTTAAAGTGCTGAAAGAAAAGAACTGTCAACCCACAATTTTATACACATAGAAAATGTCCTTCAGGAAAGATGTTATAAGCAATACCCAGGTGCAGGGGAACTAAGAATTCAGGGCCAACAGACCTGCTCTTTTGCGTTGCTAGAGGAAGGCCTCCTGTAGAAGGGAAATGACACCAGGAGAGCACTTACCAAGAATGAGGGAAGAGAAATAGAAAAGATCAGTATCTGTATAAATGTAATAGACTGTTCCCCGCTTGAATTTTAAAAATTTGTTTGATGGTTGAAACCAAAGATGATAACATTATCAAATGGTCTTTTCAGTGTATATGGATGTAACACAGAGATGCTGACTATATAAATGAAAGGGCAAAGCTATCCCGTGGTGGTTAGGTTTTTATATTCCACTTGAAGTGCTGGTATGATTCTAAATAGGCTGAAAAGTTAATTATGTACATTGTAATTCCTTCTGCAACGTTGGAAAAAACTATACAAAGAGATATAGTCAAAATCAAATAGTTAAATTTAAAAAGAATGCTAAAAATGTTCAAATGATTCAAAAGAAGGCAGAAAAGGGGAAACAGAAGAATTTAAAACAGGCAACAAAAAATAAAAAGTAAAATGGTTGCTGTGAACCTAAAACTGCTTTAGAAGATAAAGTCTATTTTGAAAAATATATATATATTAGCCCTCATCCAAACACATCAATTAATTTATTAATGTAAATAATCTAAACTCACCAATTAAAAGACAGAAATTGTTGGAATGTATTTTTTAAATGATCCAACTTTAGCCCTGGCCAGTTTGGCTCAGTGGTTAGAGTGCTGGCCCGTGGACCAAAGGGCTGAAGGTTCAATTCCCAGTCAAGGGCATGTACCTCGGTTGCGGGTTCAATCTCTGGCCTGGGTCTGAGTGAGAGGCAGCCGATCAATGTGTCTCTCTCACGTCGGTGTCCAACCCCCTCCTTCCTCCCTCCCTTTCACTCTCTCTAAAAAAAATCAGTGGAAAAAATATATCCTAAGGTGAAGATGAACAACAAAAAAAAGATCCAACTTTATGCTGCCTAAAAGAAACTCATTTCAAATATAATGATAGGTTCAAACAAAAAGAACAGAAAAGGCTATAACATGAAAATACAAATCAAAAGAAATCTGGAGTGGCAACATCAACAGTCAGAGTAAACTTCAGGAAATTACCAAAGGTGAAAGAGAGACATCCCATAACTACAAAAGGGTCATTTACAATGAGGACCCTGAATGTCCATGCACCTAACAACAGAGCTTCAAAATACACGAAGCAAAACTGACAGAACCGAAAGGCAAAATAGACAAATCCACAAATACAGGCAGAGACTTAAACACTCCTCTCATTAATCATTAGAACTAGTAGACAGAAGTCAGCAAGGACATGGAAGAACTGAACATCACCAACGACCAGCTGGATCTAACTGACATTTATGTAACACTCCACCCAAGAGCAGAATCAACATCCTTTTCAAGTGCACATGAAATATTCTCCAACATAGACTACATCCTGGGTCATAAAACTCACCTTCACAATTATAAAAACATTGCACTAACACAGAGTATGTTTTCTGACCATAAAGTTAAGGGCTCAGTCTCACAAGACTGTTTACCACCTTGGGACTCCAATAGAAAGCCCAGGTTGTCACCTGTTCTTCTGACCAACTGGCTATAAATCAGAGGTTCCCACACACAACCCCCCTTGGGTTCAATTAATTTGCTAGAGCTCACAAAATGCACAAAACTCAGAGCTGTGGGGGAGCTTTGCCTGTATCCATCCTGTTACCAGTTGATTATAAAGGATGTTATAAAGAATACAGATGAACAGCCAGATGCAGGGGCACATTGGACAAGGAATGGGGTAGGGTTGAGGGGCTCCCATGCCCTCTCTAGGGGTTCCTCTCTCATAGCACCTCCATAGTCCACCAGCCCAGAGGCTCTCTGAACCCCGTCCTTTTGGGTTTTTACAAAGGCTTCAATACATAGGCATGACTGATGGAATCATTGGCCATTGGCGACTGGGTCAACCTCCAGCCCCTCTTCCCTGGAGGTCGGGGCTGGCACTGAAAGTTTCTACCCTTTAGTCACTTGGCAACCAGTCCCCTGGCAACCAGTTCCTATTGTTCATTAGGTGCATCCAGAAGTCACCTCCTTAACATAAATCAGGTGGGGTTGAAAGCGGTTTGTTACAAATATCAAGACACCTTTATCACTCTTATCACTTAAGGAAATGTCAAAGGTTTTAGAAGTTCTGTGCCAGAAAAGGCGATGAATATATTTATTATAAACCACAATATCACAGAAGTCCTCTCTTGGCACAGCATCCCGCCAAGCTCTGAGTGATGGGGAGCCAGCCAGATGAAGTGAGGGAAGGGTGCTCCTGGCAGAGAGACCCCAAATGCAGGCACAAGACGATGTGTTCCGGGAGCAGAGTAATGTGGAGGAGGTAAGACTACCTGTTTCACCTCTCTTGCCCTCCAGCTGTTCTTTAGAGCCCTGGTTAGTCCCCACCCTCCCCAGATGCCAGGTCCTGGTCAGTATGTACATCTGCCCCCTGCCCAGGGCTGCATACAAGGCACTAGGTGTGGGGATCTAGGATCAGGCGCCCCAAGCTCCCACGGTGATGCCCACAGTCCATCTGGTCCACACAGGTGAACCAATTCTGCCCGTGGGCCTGTGGGGGCAGTTCCTACCTGGCCGCCCTTGCTCATCATGACACCAGGAGCTCTGCAAGGTGGTCTGGGGCCTACTGGAGGCCAATCCCCACCCCACCCCCGGGCATTTCTCCCCATCTCCCTGGGAAATTGGCTCAGACTCTTCTGCCTTCAGAGATCCCTCACCTATCTGGCTGTTTTCATCTCCCAAAAGATGCTCCTCTGCGAGCAAGGCCAAGGGAGGGCCCTAGCCCAGCCCCAGCCCTCCCTGCAGCCCCTTCCCCTCCCCAAGCCTGAGACATCTTTCTAGTCAGGGCTGTGGAGGAGTTTTGCCTATATCCATCCTGTCTCCCAGGCATATAAAATGCAAAGGCCTGAAAGAGAGTCCTTTTTTCTCTCCTCTCCTCCCTGGGGCTCTGAGCACAGACTGCCTGTGCGAGTGGGGAAAAGGGAGCGCTGGTGGGGAAATTGGAGACTCTTAAGCGACTTCCTTCAGTATCCTGACCTTCCAGGGTAGGGCCAGTTGTGGGCACGTGCCCCTTCAGCGTGTTCTGTCATCTGTCTGTTGACTCATTTCCATAATATCACCACGATGTGTTATGCTTGCTATAAATACGTATGTAAATGTCAGCACACCAAGGAAATGTCTGAGACCATTTGGAGGAAGTGCGTATGAATCAGCACGAGATCTGCCTGGTGTTCACAGGCAAGTTCTTCCTCAATGTGTAGAATATGACACTAGTGTGAGACCCTTCCTGGAGGAGACATTCTAATCCTCACATTTCCCATCCCACTTGTGTTTCTAGCCAGAGGTTAGCTTTAAAGGCATTTTAAAAGCTTCCCTTACACATTGTATCACTGGTGATGTGGATGAGGGGGATGATGCTGGAATTGTATTAAGATAGAAATCTGGTGAGGGCAGCTCAGAGGTCCTTCCCAAGACATTCTGCTGCAGGGAACCAGGGAGAGTGACCCCAGATGGTGAAATGATGGCCAGTGTGTGACACCAGCACAGGGGATGTCCTCCCTAGGACAAAGCCCATCCTTCCACAGCCTAAAGAAGGGTGTCTTGGCTCACAGAGCAATATAGGCAGGTGCCTGAGGCTAGGAGTATCTAGTCTGGAGGCTCCTGAGGCCAACT